GGCGGGGAGGGGGGCAGAGGGAGTTGTTTTCTTGGACCATCACACACCACGGTCTTTTCTGCTTCTTGCTTAGGTCAGTAGGTAATATGGCCGTGTGCTTGCAATAGACCATTTTCGTTTTCCCGGTATTGGAGTGGAACTAGCTGGCAACTGAGGCTAATGCTGGGAGTCTCTTCGAATGCAAATGACTTGCATCTCTTTTTTGTGATATTCCCCCGCATGAGCCTCCATTCCAGGCTAGTTCCAGTCCAATACCGAGAGTCATACCGAGAATACGAAAGTGGCCTATTGAATTTTTGCCTGGATTACTGATCCATAACCTGTTTTGCAGCAAGTTGGCAGGCGTAAACAGGGGAGGAGAAAAACACCAGGACGTTTTTAATCTCTGAATCAATTTTTGAATCTACAAATCATTTAAGGAACTCCTGACGAAAGTAACGCTTTCTTTTGCGTGGAATTCAGTTCCGACAAATAAAACGATACAGCGAGTAAAATGAGATGATATCAGTGTGTACCATTCGACAACCTTCCAGTACAAAGGACTGTTCCATTTCATTTCCTACCAGTTGGACTGTTTATTTCATCAAGGAGCACGTGAATAGCATGAAGAGACAAAAAATACAGTAATTTACCGATCATTCTGATAAAAATCAGAAAAGAGGGACACCTTGAAGTAAGGCTAGCCCGTATTTTCATGACTAGTGTATATCAAAAGTGAACATCGTTCCAAGATATTTGTCTCCGCGAAAAGACCGGACCGAGTAACCAAGGCATTTGTAGTCCTTTTTGGACTGAGAAAGAAAACAACTTCTGTCATGGACTCAAAAGATTTCGCAAACAAGTAAGTAATTATTTTGTTTTGAGTCCGAATAATCACGCCCCTTTGTATTTGATAAGCAATAACGTCAGCATCAGCACGTTAGGCAACAATAGGCAACAAATATGTGGGCGGATAAGTATCAGTTAACTCTTTCATTGACAAATATAACTGCCTTCTGAGGAGTGCCCCAGGTTTGCGTCACCGCAAACCTAGATTAAGAAATCCTGGCACAGAAATCACGAACAGTTATGTTGTCCAAGTGTCAAGCAAAGTTGGACTTACAGCTCGTTTTTATGTTGTTTGAGGACAATTATTCGTTTATAGACCACAGAAAGTGTCGTCCTCGGGGATTAAAACGAAATGAACTGAAGGAGAATGGAGTTAACTTCCTTTTAAAATAAGTAGGACAACTTGTTTGAGTTATGATAAACATATAAAGATATGCTAAATAAAAGACGAGGGTGATAATTGAAATGAATAGAAAATTTCCAATGAACATTCATCAGCCACCCATATATTGAAAACCATTACGTATGGAAAAAGTATTTAGTGAAATGAATGTCTTCGATTCATTTTTAATAGATGGTTGTTAATATGTTTGTCAAGAGATGTAAATGTATATTTACTGCCACCAGATGAAAGATCTCCGTGTAAGATCCAATATTTTAAAGGTTTTTGATTGTTTGGAGGTACAAAGCATCATTAATCAATTACGTAAAACATGCCTGTTTCAAGCCAATATCACAGCTTGTTCACTTGTGCCAAGCTCATTCACATTCCAGTGTGTTAGTTTTAAAATCAGAAGATTCTGTCACCTCCAGAGTTGAGCCAATGGAAAGCAGACTGTTCCCGCCTGTGAATATGGCCTCCTCGAGGTTTTATCTTCCAAGTTCACCTACTGTGCCAGTGTTCCCATGCTCGCCTCATTATGGTGGGTATGTCAGACCAGAGATGTTGTTCCCTCATCAAGGTAAAGATATTACAGTATTGCCTGGTTATATGAGTCACTGTTACCACCCAGCCTTACAAGCCATTCCGTACCATGCCATAGATGAAGAAAAACCAACTCAGTCCTACATTGGTCTCATTGGCAAGGCAATTCTAAGCTCTCCACAACAGAAACTTGTGCTAGGCGACATCTACAGCTACATACTGACAAATTACCCTTACTTCAGGAATAAAGGACCAGGATGGCGGAACTCAATACGCCACAACTTATCGTTGAATGATTGCTTTGTGAAAATGGGTCGTTCACCTAACGGCAAGGGACACTTCTGGGCAATCAACCCGATAAACTACGACGACTTCAGTCGGGGCGAGTACAAGAGAAAGAGAGCTCCGAGAAGAAATCGGGAAAGAAAACAGGACCAATTGACGACGAGCGAAAGGTTTACAACGCATGAGATTCCCTTTAACACTAACACTATTCCACGTGGATCAGAAAAAAGAGGTTTTCACATCGAAACACTTTTGTCCAACAAATGGGAGGAGGTAAATAGCAGTGAAGCCCACAACACCATGTCGGCATTTACTGTTGTGTCCCCGGGAATGGTGTGTACTGCTCAACAACTGCGTCAAAGTAGTTTACATGGACATTTGTCAGAGACAAATGGGCAACCATCAATTAGGTAGTTTGTGCGCTACAAGTTATAAACATTATGGTGTTAGCTGTTGACAAGCTGTGGTTCTTCACAGAAGTAACATATTTGCTGAATGTTTTTGCACCATAATTCATCATCTGTTTTTCATTGAAAAGAAAATATGTTTGGTTATTAAAGATATAATTAATTTAGATAAATAACTTTGTACATATTAAACATCGAATAAACACAGATAAGAAGTCATCATCATTAATATTTTTCGTCCACTGACTGTCAAATGGTATCTTATCAGAATGGAACATGTCTCTGTAACTGTTAAGTGAAGCTAAGGGAGTTGCATTGCGAAAACAAATACAGCTAACAAGCGTAAAAAGCGCAGGGAAAAACATCATCACTGTCATATTGAGTGAGTTGTGTTTCATCTCAGTAATTTAATGTATTGAGTAAAAAGGTAATCAAAATTCGGCGTTAACGACCGCCACCTCCACTCGGTTCTATTAACATGCAAATAGAAATTTCTAGAACAATAAAGCAAACAAATAAGCAAACTTGGCTATTGTGATTGCATTTCCTAAATTTTAATTAACAAAAATTAGAAGTAGGAAGCTTTTAAACATTGTAGAAAATGTTTGTATTCATCCACATGCAAATCAATGGTTCCACTGATCTTCAAATTAAAATTGGGCTCACTGCATCACTCTATACATTCCAGTCAGGATTAAAATTCCATTTTCTTTAGGCAAGAAGTGACTTACTTCTACGCCCACATCTTTTGACTCAATGAAAGAACAAAGCAATATGAATTAAAACGCGCAAATGTTGTAAAAGGATATCATCGATTATTTTAACTTTGGTTGAAACTGACTATGCTTCGAAATAAAAACGCCGAGAAGTTAGTGATCATAGGTTTGAATTAAGGCGTGCCTATACAGAATGAATGTATCAGCTAATTATTGAAAATTACCATGTCATAAAGGTAAAGTTTATAAATATGAGGTCGAGAGCTTCTAAACACTCGACACTCAATTTGGATCCCCGTCTTGTTGCTGTTTACTTTCAACGTATTTTTCCTTGAGCAGCATAATGTTTAACCCAAAGTGAATTAAGTCGGTGATAGGCTGAGATTTAAAGCGTTATACGGTCTGTACGGGCTCGGCATTTTTTAGTCGTGTCGTGACGTCCAAACTAGCTCCCTGAACTCATAAAGCGTGGATAAACAAAACATTTTATTCTCAAGAAATACTTAAATCAGATTATATGGACTGAGTAACCCAGATCATCTTAAAAACAGCGCAGCATTCCAATTCAGTACATACATACGCTTGGTGAAGTGAGGGCGGCAATTCTAAATGAGCCGCAATAGGCACTATATCTACCAATCAAATCTTTTTACATTGTGATCGAAAAAACAAAGTCAGTTTTTTTCGAATAAAACCAATATGATCAGTATATCCGCCGTGGCACATACTGTATTCAGAGTTTTCTTGAACCAGCATTTTTGTTTCTTACGTTCTCAGTACGATATAAACGGTTCCAGTGCATCGCTTATTTATCATTTTAGAATTGTGAAGTAATCCACGATTTACCTCAAACAAAACTATCGTTAGTTACATAGAAAAGAATTAAACCAATTAACAAAACGATAAAGCAACCAAAATTAAAAATTTTTCGCCACGGCGCAACTTTAATAACAGAAGCCGTCACCAAAGGGTATTAACTGATGTATGAATTGGTCCGAGGACGTGGACTCAACATCAGTATTATTGGTCTTGTCGTCTCGTTACCGTTCAAATTCATTCAGTGCTGTTTTTTTTTTTTTTTTTTTT